ATTTTTATTAGAATTTTTGGTAAAAAAAATTACCTAATAAGACTCAGATTTTATGAGAAACTATTTAATAAATTTTTTTTGTAATAAAATACATAATAAAAGTAAATATGTTGTTAAAATGTAAAATACTTACTCTAGTAGGATTTCCATTGTTGACCTAAATTAATAGCGTTGATGCATCACCTAAAACACCCCCAAACCATTGTGGGTCTATGTTTGTCAACGCATGCTCTCCTTAGTGGGACCATATCGATCCTTGTTTTTCCTTATTACTCACTAGAGAGACTAAGTTAGATTTTTATCTTAAATAGGTTTAATTTGACGACGACCTATCACAGGTAGATTGAATTTGAGTTTCAAGGGGGTTGGATTGGAGTTTGGATCTCTTTGGTTTAGGTCAATAAATTGTGGGCTCTTGGTCGGGTCATGCTTGGGTTTAGATTTTGAATCCTTGGAACGCTCAAGTCTCGGGTTGTTTAAGGTCAGCCATATCAGGCATAAGTCACCATTTATCTTAGATTAAAGCAGGCGAGATCATGATCGGGTTTGGACAAATTTTTCTGGTTGGATTATTATCTAGTCATTGTCAAAGTTTGGGTCTAGTCATTCTCGGGTTGTTTAAGGTTAGTCATATCAGACATGGGTCACCATTTATCTTAGATTAAAACAGTTGAGATCATGATCGGGTTTGGACAAATTTTTCTGGTTGGATTATTATCTAGTCATTGTCAAAGTTTGGGTCTAGTCATTATCAAGTTATATCATGTTCGGGTTTATGAAGAAACTTGTCTTTCTTGTTTCACTTTTTTGTTTGACTCATTCACAGTCTGACACAATCACATAAGCACATAACATATATGACATTAAATTCATATAGTTTTCTTTCAAAAAAAAAATCATATAATTCTCTCATTTGTTCAACACATGTCATATTCTAAATAGAAAGAATTTATAAGGGAGCACACATGTAAATATACAAGATTAAAGGTGTCTACTTGTCTAAGTTGAATTCGAGTCAAGTTGAGGGATGAGATGATGGATGTTTAGGGGTGTCAATTAGGCAAACAGTTCGGGTTTGGGTTAGGTTTATCAGTTTCGGGTTATAACAGGTTGAAATGATTAGCGAGTCGATTTCGGTCAGTTTTGAAAACAACCGGGTCAGTTTGGTTTGGTTTTTTTTTTTTTAAAATTTTGGTTTCTATTTGGGTCGGGTTGTTGTTAGTTCAGGCCATAATTAGTTTGGGTTGAACCAGGTTGGTTTAAAAGCGGTTTTAGCCAATTTAAAGTGGGTTTCGATTCAAAACAGTTCGGGTCCTAATCGGGTCGGGTAGTAATTGGGTCGGATTATAATCAGTTTGGGTTAAACTAGGTCGGTTTGAAATTGGATTTCGTTTCAAAACAGATCATGTGAAAATCGGGTCCGGTCATTATTGGTCAGGTCATAATCGGTTTGGATTGAACTTGGTTGGTTTCAAAACAGGTTCACCCAATTTAAAGCGGGTTTAAGTCCAAATCATATTGGGTTGAAATCGAGTCGGATCATTATCGAGTCAACTTAGTAAGATAATGGGTAGGAAATGGTCATGTTATAATCAAGTTAAGTCATAAATAAGTTAGGTTTATGGAGTAGTGGGTTGAAACGGATCAGATCATAAACAAATTGGGTTACGGGTTGTAAATGACTCAATTATAACGGGTTACCGATCATAAACGGTACGGTCTCAACGGGTTACGAGTCATAAACAGTTCCGTCTCAATCGGGTACAGGTTGAAAACGGTTCGGTCACAACTGGTTATAGGTTGGAACGGTTCAAGTTTATTGGATTTTTGTCGGGTTTAAACGGTTTTTCGGTTTAAAATGAGTCGGGTTACTATCGGGTTCAAACGTAATCTATTCGCGGTTGTTTTCAGTTTTGGGTTGTAACGGTTTGGCTTGATAATGGGTCGGATTAGTAACAGTTCGCACAAATTCGATTTAGTTCAATTTTGGGTTAGAAAACAATGGGTCGTCGGGTTGGTTTTTGGTTCCCAAAAAAAATGGGTTTTTTAACGTTTAGTTTCGTTTTGTATCGGCTCAAAACAATCGGGTTTAACGGTACGGTTCAGAAACTGCCAGCTCTAGGGTCGTGTAAAGTTGAAGCACCTTCACATGCCATATCACATTGGCGCGTTGCACATAATACTCCTTGTTTTTTTCATTGTAAACTAATTTTTAGTCCCGAATGATATCCCAAGTTACTGCATTATTTCCATGATAAACATCCTTATTAATATCTAATTTTGATTGAATGACATGTACTCCACCCCAGAATAATTGACACGTTGAACTTTTTTCATTATTCATACATCAAGTTTGACTATAGTTTTATATATATTAGCCTGACACAACATATTTTATCATAAAATGTGCTATTAGATATATATTGATATAAAGTTTTATAATATATTTTTTTCAAAATAATTTTTTATTAATATTTACTTATTAAAAATAAGGTAGAACTAGTACATCGACATGTGTCCAAAGTTTGAATGTGTTAATTATTCTAGGATAGAGGGAGTAATATGGTAATAGATTAGTGGCTAACACTAGGGGTGGAAAACAGATCAGGTCAGGTCGGGTTCGTGTTCGGGTTTTCGTGTTTCGGGTCAAGGAATCCCCAACTGAACCTGATCCATTTAAGTTTTCGGGTTGAAAATCCCAACCCGAACCTGATATTTTCGGGTTCAGGTCAACCCGAAAACAACCTGATTTGACCTGACTTTTGTTAATTGTTTTAATTTTTTTTTTAGCTGAATAAACTGATTTTTAGCCAAATTTTGTGTTTTCAAACAGTTAACAAAACCTGAATTTTTTACCCAATGTTTTCAATAGTCTAAACCTAATTAACTATTACACACTAAGTCACTAACACACCAAAATAGTCTTAACAAATTACAAACCATAATTAAAAAGAAAAAAATGTCTTTTAATAAACTTTAGTCCTTGTGACTCAAACAATATTCGAAGAAGCATTCTCATCAAATTCTGATAGTTCCGGCGAGGTTTGTGGTGCGTCATCGTTGTCCCCCACCTTAAGCTTCATAACGGATCCACATAGCATTGCCATTTGAGGATCCATATTATCTACAAGAAAAGATAGCAAATTAAAATCAACACATTTACTAAAATAAAAGATAATTTACAAGTAATATAATAGTTCTAACTCATTTTTTACCTTCCCCAAAATCCCAATCCCTTAAGCAAATTATAGCCTCCACTGTTTCTGATTTTAAAGCACTTCTATAACAATCAAGCACTCGACTTCCAGTACTAAAAGCTGATTCGGAGGCCACAGTTGATACGAGGACAGCAAGAACATCCCTAGCAATTTTAGCTAATATAGGATACCGGACCGAGCAAGTTCTCCAATAAGACAAAATATCAAGGTTGGTGCCTCGGGGGATAAGTGGCTCCTCATAATACATATCAACTTCAGATTTGATTGCCACATTTGATTGCTCCATAGAAAAACTATCAAAATCCTATATACCAAGATTAGATTACATGAGTAGCATGTCACAAAAAATCAAAAAATAAAAATCAGATTATCATACAATAAAATCAGATTATAATATAATAAATCAGATTATAAGAAAATCAGATTATAATACAATAAATCAAATTATATGAGTAGCATGACGCCATGACACAAAAAATCAGAAAATAAAAATCAGATCATAATACAATAAATCACAGGTTATAATATAATAAATCAGATATAATAAAATCATATTATAATAAAATCAGATCATAAAAAATCAGATTATAAAAAATCAGATTATTAAATCAGGATATGTTTTCACTTGCAATAAAGGTAAATGCATCAAAAAGACAGAAACTCATAAAGTTGTTTACCATCATAAAATCATCGGAAGCTTCATTAGCATTGGAAGCATTAGCAGTGGGAATAACATTGCTTGATGAAGAATGACTGGATGCATAAGCCTCGTACAACCTCCGTAAAGCATCCTTAACCTTAGAAAACTCAAGCTCGTATTCAACACTATGCTGACCATATATCCTCATGTAACCCCAATTGACACATTGCAACTTATATCGTGGATCCAACACCACAACAACAGCCATAAATGTACTAAATTCTGACCAATACTTTCCAAATTTCTCATACATTTTACAAGCCATTTTTTGCATAAAAAGATCTGAACTTTTCATTTCATTTTGTAACAACAACCTAACTTGTAAGACTCTATGAAAGTAGATATTGAAAGTTGGATATTTGGTCCCAGAAAAGGCAAGTGTGACATCATGAAAAACTTTCAAAAACTTGCATATTTTTTCAACTCTACCCCATTCTTCAACAGAAGGACAATGTACATAATTGGCATCAACTTTTTGAAAGTGAATTAAAGCTTTTTTAAAATACAAAGCACAATCAAGCATCATGTAAGTTGAATTCCATCTAGTAGGAATATCTTGTTGTAAAATTCTAGTAGATTGAATTTCAACATGTGATACACAACTTAAAAACCTTTGTTTCCTAGCTTGTGAACTCTTACAATATTTGGCACTCTCTCTAATCTTATACACAGCCTCATCAATTTCTTTTAAACCATCTTGAACAATTAAATTAAGAATGTGAGCACAACACCTTACATGAAAAAATTCCCCACCACAAATCAACTCAAGTTCCCCTTTTAGATTTTCAGCAAAAACATCATTTGAAGAAGCATTATCTAATGTAATTGAAAAAATATTTTTTTTGAATACCCCATTCTTTTAACAAACCATACACATGATCACATAAATGAATTCCTATATGGGGAGGACCAATGTAAGAAAAGTTCAAAATCTTTTTTTGCAAACACCAAGACTTGTCAACATAATGAGATGTCAATGAAATATAACCATCACTGGTTATAGAAGTCCAACAATCAGAAGTCAATGCAATTCTACTACAAGTTGAGCCCAAAACAACTTTTAATTTTTCTTTCCTTCTTTTATACATCTTAAGTACATCAGATTTGATAGTATTTCGAGTGACAGGTTTGAAATCAGGATGCAAATAATTAAAACATCTCCTAAAACCCTTGAACTCTACAAACTGAAATGGCATATCATGCTCCACAATAGCAAGAGATAATAATTCACGGAAATAATTAGCATCAAATTCACGCAATCTATTTCCTAAACCAGAGGATGTTTTCTCTAATATCATTTGACCAACATCCCTAAAAGACCTTTGTTTGCAATTTTTCAAATGACGATGAAGATTCCCAGTTCCATTCTTACTATCAGCATTAAAATGTATACCACACTTTTTACATTTGCAAATTAGATTACCATTTTATCAGGCTCGTCTAAAAAATCAAAATTCACCCAAACACCAGAAGAAAGCCGACGTTGACGTTTCTTACCAGTAAGAATCACACGAGGTTTACCAGAAGAAGTTTTCTGGTTTTTACCATTTCCTTTGTCTTGTGTTGTCGAGTCAATCTCCTCTTCCTCGGAAGAAAGTTGCTGAACATCGGCATCCATAATTACTGCAAAAATTATAACAAAATAAAACATTTATTTTAAAACAAGAGACAAAAACTGATCTATTCTTTCTAGAGATATAATCTAAACATCAACATCCATAATTACCGCAAAAAATCAGAAATTATTTGGACAAGAACAGCAATATAAAATAAACAACAAGTCAACAACAACAAGCTAGAGATATAATCTAAATCAGACCTAAAATTAAAAAAAAAAAATCACATGCATGTCAAAGATATATTCTTGCTGTAAATTAGATCAGGAATTGGATTATTGTGCTAGAAATTTACAAAGCAACCCATCATACGTTATATAAACTTAATACTATTATCATGCAAGAACAACAACAATAATCAAATACAAATCTGTATTGAAACAGAAACAAAAACAACAAAAATCAAGAACAAACCAAACGAAAACAACCAAAATGAAATGAAAACAACAAACTCGAAACGAAAACAACCAAAAATGGAACGGAAACAAAAACAACAAAAATCAAGAACAAAACTAACGAAAACAACAAAAACCAAAACGAAAACAACCAAACTCGAAACGAAAACAAAAAAAATTGAAACGAAAAAAAAAATCAAAAATCAAGAACAAAACCGAAACGAAAACAACAAAACAGAAACGAAAACAACAAAAATCGAAACAAAAACAACAAAAATTAAAAAAGAATTACCTTTGAGAGTTTGAGGTTTGACGGCTTGAAGGAGATGAAGATTTGAAGATTTGAAAAAAAAAACAAGAATGGAAAATTCAGAATCAAAACTTGAAATTCAAAACAAAAACGAAACGAAATAAAAAACAATTAATAACCATTACCTTTCAGGCGTTGAGGAGTGAGAACGAGTGAGAAGAGGGAAAAGTTGAGAACTTGAGAACGAAAGAGTGAGAAAGAACTAGAAGGAAAGAGTGAGTGTGGAGTGTCTGAGAACTTGAGATTGTTGAGAAAATGAGAACTAGAGAAGTTTAGAGAGAGAGAGAGAGAGAGAAAGAGAGAGAGAAAGAAAGAGAGGGCAAAATGAGAAAATAGGAGACAAAAACGACTGGTGGGGGTTAGTCACATTTAGGGTTTTTTTAAGTTTAGAACTTTAAATTGGGCTTGGGCCATTAGCCATTAAAATGATTTTTTTTTAAGACTTTTTTATTCGGGTTAGAAGGTCGGGTTCGGGTTGACCTGACCTGATTTTGACCCGAAAATTATTTTCGGGTTATGTGGGTCATTTTCGGGTTGAAATTTTCAACCTTAACCTAACCCATTTAATTTCGGTCGGGTTCGTGTCAACCCATTTAAGTTTTCGTGTCGAAATTCTCAACCCTAACCCGCTATTTTCGGGTCGGGTTCGGGTCGGGTTTTCGGTCGGGTCAATTTTTGCCACCCTAGATAACACGTTAGGATTTAAACTCAAAGTTGTGTGTTCAAATCTTGTAAAATCCATATTTATAAATATATGGAGTGAAAAATGGATTAAATAAGAGAGTGCCACATGGCTTTAACATATGGAATTAAAAACTCGATTAAATGAGCACCACGTGGCATGTAAACTTGTTTAGAAACACCTTTTAATATATAGTATATGGAGTAAAGGTAAAATACAGTCCTTGAACTTTGGTATTTATAGCATTTTTAGTCCCTCAACTTTCAAATGAGGCAAAATGGTCCCTCACCCACTAATGACTCACTTTTCAGATACAAATTAGCTCACTAAGCATAGTTTATTGGGACCTTAGGGCACATGTGGCAATAAATTAATAATTTTAAAGCAAAGTTTAGAGACATTTAGTTGATGAGTTGGCTTTAACTAAGTTAAAAAATGTAAGTTTAGGGATATATAGGGTGAGGTGGCTAATGTAATTATTATATGCCAAAGTTTAGCAACACATGGCGCTCCCATACAAGAGTGATTATAAATTTAACCCATAATACGTGTAATTTGGTTCAATGAAATTAATTTAATTTTAACAAAACCAATTTAATTTTAGTAAAAAATTATTTACTTTATAAAAATATGTAAGTGAAAGATATTTTATGTGTGAAATTCATAGTCATCATTTACTTTCTCTCACTAAAATCTGTTAAGAAATCTAGTTAAGATCTTGCTATATATAATACAAAATTTGTTTCTAAAAGAATAAATCCTTCTTATTTCTTACTCATTTAGTTACACACATTTAGTTAACAATTTATGACAATTATTATTTTCTCCTAGAAGTTAAAAACAAGAAAAAGGAAGAAGAAAAAAAAAACCCCTAAAAATTTTCACACCCAAAATCCAAAAAAATTAAAAATTATTTAGAACATACACAAATAGGGAAAAAAAATCCTTGAAAATTGACACACAAAACCCTAAAAAATTGAAACCTCACATAAACACAAGAAGAAGAAAAATTGTCACTTTTTGAGAAAAATGGGGTGGTATTATTTTTTATTCTAGTTCCGTTAGTTTATTTAGTTTATATTAACAAAGTTTGGGTTTTATCTTACTCACTTTGAAAACACATTATATCTTTCAATTTATTTATTTTTATTTAAATTTTTTTTTGGTTTGTTCAAATATATAAGAGATATATTGTAAAAAAAAAATTGAGTACGAAAAAAGAAAAACATATTGTAGGAATATATATATATATATATATATATATATATATATATATATATATATATATATATATAATAGGATTTGAGGATAAGTGTTCAATGAGTTTAGTTGGATATATTGTAAAAAATATGAGTATGGAAAAAGGGTAGGAAGAAAAGGAATGATCAAAATATAAAATATATCATGATTATAAAATTTTGTTAGCAATTTTTATTCTTGCCAACTCAATTTATAAATATTTGGTAATAAAAAAATAATAAATAAAAAAACTCACTTAGCTTTATAAATCCCTAAGCTTTTGTTTATATTTAATTTAATTAATTGACTTGTGAGCAAACAAGTCCCTAAAGTTTTACTTGAAAAAATAAAAATAAATTACACATCATATTGTGTGTCCCCTAAACTTTGTTTAGTTGGCTTGGAATTGAAGTCTCTAAACTTTAGGGACTAAGTTTTTCCTCCATCAGAAAAAGGTGTGATGCTTGGGTGATTGAGGAACCTTTTTGCCTCATTTGTAAGTTGAGGGATTAGAATGCTACAAATACCAAAGTTTAGGAACTGTTTTACTCTAACTCACTCCGTATTATATACACAGTATAGATACAGATGTTTACATACCTTCTTCTACCATAATGTTTCTTTGCGTGGTTTGGTCTAACAAGTCAGATATTTTCTTTATTTTATCAATCGCTCACCTACCTTACCTTTATTAATTCAGTTAATCGTACAGCATGATATGATAAGGAGACTGGGTCTTCGAGAACAAAGGATAATGTTGTAGAAAATGTCCGAATGATCCTTTTCCAACAATTACTTGGTACAAAAAAAATTCCGATAACCAAGTTTCCTCCATTAGTTGGTGAAGGATTCTGTATTTCTGTGAATTCTTTTTTATTTTTTTAACATCATTGCTTGTCACTTCTACTTTACCAGTTCAGTTAATTGAACTATAACATTACGAAACTGGGTCTTTAAAAAGTTACAGAAAATGATCCTTTCCCAACATACGGATACAATTATTTGGCATGTACTAAATAATTCCTATTAAGAAGTTCATTAGTTTAATGATTTATAGAAAAAGGTGGTCCATAAACAAATTAATTAATATTTAATACTACTACAAAGAAGTACCTAATGGAATGATACAATAATATACAGTGATGAAGCTGTTGAAGAAAATAAAAATAGGAAATGAAAATTCAAAGAGCAAACATTGAGAGTATACGGGAGACTTTCTTCATCATCATGAGGCAAAGACCGTGGCGAATGTCTGGCAACGGCGACTCTCTCGCGCACCAATCGAAGGGTTCGATCCCATCGGCTATTACTGGTGTTATTAGTATTATCGACACCAGAGAAAATCTGAGCAATTTGAAAAAGCAAGAACCTGGTTGAACAAACTAAATCTTGCGGAGAAACTTTGACGCTTAAGCAGAGCTTGAATAAAAAAGGCCATATCAAGTTAGCCGCGATTCGAGGGGTAGTCAAGCCCGCACCCGCACCCGCACCCGCACCCGCACCCCTTGATAGATGAAATGCCGCTACTACCACCAAGTGCATTCCCATTCTTTCTCTGTTTTTGTCGCTCAATTTCTAACCCCTGATCTTTAGATATTTAATATTTAATGGATAATAATGCTCTTCATTCGTGTTTTCCTTTGCTGTTTTTTTTCAGCAGATATTTTTATTTTAGTTTCTTCTTTCATTTAAAATAGAGAGAATAAAGAACTAGGTAAAACCTCCCCAAAGTCCCAACTGGCCCAGAGCAAACAAATTTTGAAGTGGCAGTATTTCTGTTTGGTGATGTGAATAAATGTTTCCCATTAGCTGATTGTCATTAAAACGTCCACATTTCTCATTTGCCGTTGTTATCCACTTGGTTTTCCTCCCCCACCCTCATTTAAACCCAAAAATAACAGAGAGATTCGTTACTCACTTACTCCGTATATGTTTTACCCTCAACGTACGAGATGCACGATTTTGTTGTATTATGTACTACTTGTCTGCTTTTACTAAAGGCGTGTTCGGCCCTATTTCTTTGAGCAAGAGAAAGTGGAGTAAGAGCATAATCAATGGTTAATCACAATTATTGTGTTATCATCTATTTTATTCATTTATCCATTTTCTACCTTATTTGTAACCACTTTGACAATTATTTTATAATCAATGCATGTTAATGGTTGTCCATAAATTTTATTCAATAAGTAGAAAATCTTACAAAAATGGGTAAATATTTTATTCAATAACCATGTTACAATAATTTTTTTTTTTTGTTTTTGAAGAACCATGTTACAATAACTTGGTTAAAGGTTTAACTAGGTTGTTGTTTTATCTCTCTTTTTTTTTGAAAGTTTGATAGTACACAAGGGTGTACCATGCTCATCAGCTCATGGTACACCTGCTGAGTTGGCAGGATTAATTCCATTAATTTCTAA